CCCTCCCATGCCAGCTCTCCCACAGGTCCCCCAACCCCCAGGGGCTCCCCTCCCCCGCCAGCTCTCCCACAGGTCCCCCCACCCACAGGTGCACCCCTCCCACGCCAGCTCTCCCACCGGTCCCCCAACCCCCAGGGGCTCCCCTCCCCCGCCAGCTCCCCCCACCCCCAGGGGCACCCCTCCCCCGCCAGCTCTCCCACAGGTCCCCCACCCCCAGGGGCTCCCCTCCCCCCGCCAGCTCTCCCACAGGTCCCCCACCCCCAGGGCCCCCCCCACCAGCTGCTCACCTCGAGGTGCAGGAGGTTCCACACCTGCTGCAGGGGGGGCAGGGCCTTGCTCCGGTGATGGGACGAACCCGAGTGGAAATTCCACAGCTGAGCCTGGCGGAGGGGTGGCAGAGATGTGGGTTGGGGGGGGGGGAAGAGTCTGGCGCCAGAGTGACTGACTCACCACTCACCTCCCACCCCCACCCCACCAGCACCTCCTGACCGGTACCCTCCTCCCACCGCCTCCCACCCCTCATCTGTCCAATGGGCCAGTCCAGCCCAGAACCCACCTCCCCCAATCAATCCAATGGACTCACCCGGCCCAGAACCCCCCTTCCCCAATCAATCCAATGGGCCCACCCAGCCTAGAACCATCATCCCCTATCAGTCCAATGGGCCAGTCGGGCCCAGAACCCCCCTCCCCCAATCAATCCAATGGGCCCACCCAGCCCAGACCACCCACTCCCACCCCCCGCTCAGGCCAATGGGCCCACCCAGCCTAGAACCATCATCCCCGGTCAGTCCAATGGACCCGTCCGGGCCAGAACCGCCCTCCCCCAATCAATCCAATGGACCTATCAGGCCCAGAACCCCCCTCCCCCAATCAGCCCCATGGACCTACCCGGCCCAGAACCATCATCCCCGGTCAGCCCAATGGACCCACCCGGGTGTTGCCAACTCCACATAGCAGTCGCTAGGTGTCGCTGTCTAAGCTCTCAAAAGAAGCCAACAATGTCACTGAACAGAATTTCCAGAGAATTACACAGAGAATGACACCCACGCACCCATGCACACACTCACGCACACACCCACAGCCAGGCAAGTACAGTCACAACATCATTCACAAGCAGCTCAGTCGTGTTCATCAAATCCGTTCCACGCTCTTCTGGGCGGTTAATTTCAGCCGAGCCTCCTTTGCTTGCCAGGCAGGGCCCAGAGCCCAGGGTGTTCGCCTGACCTGAGCTCGCCTGACGTGAGCTCGTTCGCCTGACCTGACCTGAGTTCGCCTGACGTGAGCTTGTTCACCTGAACTGAGCTCGCCTGACGTGAGTTCGTTCGCCAGACGTGAGCTCGTTCGCCTGACCTGAGTTCGCCTGACGTGAGCTCGTTCACCTGAACTGAGCTCGCCTGACGTGAGTTCGTTCGCCAGACGTGAGCTCGTTCGCCTGACCTGACCTGAGTTCGCCTGACGTGAGCTCGTTCACCTGAACTGAGCTCGCCTGACGTGAGTTCGTTCGCCAGACGTGAGCTCGTTCGCCTGACCTGACCTGAGTTTGCCTGACGTGAGCTCGTTCACCTGAACTGAGCTCGTCTGACGTGAGCTCGTTCGCCTGACGTGAGCTTGCCTGACGTGAGCTCGTTCGCCTGACGTGAGCTTGCCTGACGTGAGCTCGTTCGCCTGATGTGAGCTTGCCTGACGTGAGCTCGTTCGCTTGACCTGAGCTCGTTCACCTGACCTGAGCTCGGCACTGCAGCCAGCCCAGTAGATTTAAAAATAAAAATCCGCTAGCCGGACCCCTTCCCAGTCCCCACCTGCTTCCAGGGTGTGATTTCCGACAACAGCCGGGCAGCTACGCTCAGGGGACAGAGTAAAGGGGAGCCAAAATCAAGCTAGCTCCACTTTTGATCCTGCAGAAAGGGCTTCCGCCCTGGAGGCACAGGGCCCCCCGCCCCACCAGGGCCCAAGGCCCTGTCTCATCCCACCCCACCGTCCGCCCGTGCTGGGCTCCTCGCTGCCTAGCCTCCGGTTCCAACTACGGAGCGGCGAGAAAGACGACATCTGGGTGTGAACGGGCCGCCCGCTCCCAAAGCGCGCCTGGCTTGAATTAGCCCCCCCACAAACGTCTTTCCCTCGCCTGCGGGTTCTGGTGACCTCAGCCCAGGAGACGTAACATTGCCCGGGCGTGCGACGGACAGTTGGACGAGTGCGCTCGAGCTGCTGGTGAATGCTTCGGCGGACGGCGATGGTAATTTCTCACTGCACAGGCAGAGATTTCGCACGGGGTCACTGGCACACAGATTTGCTCACTCGGGAAAACCAAGAACTCACTAAACCTCGTGACGAAGCCCGGAACCACCACGTCCGATCCATGCAAAGGGCCTCTGGGCCCAGACTCCTGCCCCAGATCACTACAACGGGCGCCTGGGCCCAGACCCCCCACCCCAGATCAGCACAACGGGCCCCCGGGCTGCCCCACCTGCTGCAGGCGCCCGATGCGGGCGCTGATCTCGCTGTAGTTCCCATAGTCGCGCTGGTAGCGGGCCGCATTCTGGTAGCACCGCACGGCCTCCTCCCAGTCCTGCTCCGACTCGTAGACCTGCCCCAGCTGCTCCCACAGCTGTGGCTGCACTGGGTCCCGCAGCAGGGCCTGCACGCAGCCGTGGATGGCCTCAAGCTTGCCATGCAGGGGCCGGGGGGCAGAGCTCCTGCGGGGGTGGCAGGGACCGTGTCAGACTCAGCGCGCCCAGCGGGAGGAGGGGGGGGCGGGGCAGGACTCCTGGGTTCTCTCCCCAGATCTGGGAGGGGAGTGGGGGCTGGTGGGTTAGAGCAGGGGGGGCTGGGAGCCAGGACTCCTAGGTTTTCTCCCCGGCTCTGGGATGGGCTTCCCCCCACCCTGTGTCCGGAGATCAAGAGCAGCAACACTTACCCAGAGGGGAAATAGGGTTTGTTGGGGTGCCCGATATTAGTGCCATGAGGTGTTGGGAGATGTGGGGGCAGCTGAGACTGTCCGATGCTGGCAGAGCACCTGGGGGACAAGGAAGGAGAGACAGTTAGACAGACAGAGGGTAAGGGATGAGGTTTCGGGGATGGGGCCCGGGGCCTGTCCCCTCTAGGGGGCGCCAGCTCCCACCCGGCCCCAGGGTCGGGACTGGCTGGCTCAGGGGCGCGGAGAATGGGGCAGGGGCCTGTCCCCTCTAGGGAGCGCCGGCTCCAGCCAGTTCTGTGCCTCCCCCCCCCCGGGGCCGGGGGGCGCTGGCAGATGGGGCGAGCTCCCCCTGGGGTGGGGGGTGTCCCACAGACTCACCTGCCGCCCGGGAGCCATGGGCGGGAGTGGCCGGGGTTCCAGGCCCCGCCGCAGCTCAGGCTGCTGAGAGCAAAGGGATCCCGTCCGGCCCGGCCCCCCAGCTGTTCCACGGTGCGATGCATCCAGCCTGCCGGAGACGGGGAGCAGGGCGGGGTTACACGGTGCCTCCGCCACCCCCAGGCAGGGCACAAGGTGCAGCCTGCCCCCACAACCCCTCCATACCCCCCTCGGTCCCCTCCTCCAACCCTAATATCCCCTCCCCCACCCTCATCCTGCCCCCTTTCTGCCCCAACATCCCCACCCCTCTCCCTGTCCCGTCCCCAGAAATCCCCTCCCCCATCCCTCCTCCCACCTTCCCAGACATCCCATCCCCACCAGACATCCCCTCCCCCACTCCTCTCCCTGCCCCCAAGTCCCCTCCCCCTGCCTGCCCCCACATCCCCTGCCCCACCCCTCCTCCAACATCCCCTTCCTCACCCAACATCCCCCCCATCCCCTCCCTGTCCCCACATCCCCCCTCCCACCTGCCCCGACATCTCCTCCCCCTCCACACCAGACATCTCCTCCCCCACTCCTCTCCCTGCCCTCAAGTCCCCTCCCCCTGCCCCCCACATTCCCTGACATCCCCTCCCCACGTTCCCCCCCATGATCCCCCTCCCCTCTCCGCCCCCCCGTTCCCGGGCTGGGCCTGGCCTCACCACTTCTGCTGCGCTGGATGCCTCTGTCCCCCCCTCCGCCCCCTCCGGGGTGCGAGCGACGGGCAGCCCCCGCGGCTCCTTCTGGCTGAGACTCCCCCGGCGCCGTGGGGAGCCGTCACAGCCTCATACACCACTGTGGCGAGAGCGGGGGTCAGCCAGTGGGGGGGTTGGAGTCACCTCAGGAGGACGGGGGGCAAGAATCACCTCAGAGGAGAGGGGAGGGGAGAGGAGGGGGAGGGGAGCTAGAATCACCTGGGGGGGGGGTAGAGTCACCTCAGGGGGGAGGGGAGGGAGTTGGATCACCTTGCGGGGGAAGGGACGGGGGCACAAATGACTTGGGTGGCTGTTAGGGGGCTGGGGTGGGGGTGGACTCCCCTGTACAGACCCATTCGGGGAACCCCCACCCCTCCCCCACTGCCCCAACTCCTCTCCCAACTACCGAGCACAGAGCTAAAGCAGGGGGGGGGGGATCAAGGCCAGGACGGGGTTAATGGGGGGGAGGAAGTGGGTCCAGGTCGAGACGGGGTTAA